AATTGGAATTTGGGTGTGTGATAGAAGGGGAAACGGCCTAACTACGGACCACTTGTCTTGACACCATGGCACCATGCCGCCATGCCACCCCACTAGGCAGCTGTCGCTACTTCAACAAAACTGCAGGTGTGTCACATATACAATGGTGCAGTGCTCACCGCTTTACAGTAGGCATATTCCTTGGGTGTAAAAATAGGTTATGCCATTTAAAGTGCACGGTGGTTCAAGGACCATCGGCAGGAGTGGATTGTCATAATCACTCGCCTATTCGTATGCTGCTGGGATAGAGCGCTGTTCTTCAATTTACAGAAATAATTTGAGAATTTTCATGAAAGTAATAACCATGCCAACCCGTCTGCAATAACAAAGTCGTGTTTCGAATTGGGAGCATCTCTTAGTTGAATGATGACTTTCGTAATTAGGATAACATAGACTGTTATTTTGCAGGAGGAGGAGGAGGAGGAGGAGGAGGAGGAGGGAGGGGGAGGAGGAGGAGTTCGACTCCTCTTATTCATGCTAGCACATACTCTCCCACAACCTGTCACGCAAGTGGGGACTTCCGCGTAGGATTGAGTTATGATGGCGTATAAAATGCGAGTGAGCACAGTGGTTGGTGGCTGAATGCGATGACATCCTACCGTTTCTCTTTTCCTGCTTTAGCAACATCCTCACATGCTGTATTACCTCCTCCTAGCTCCTCATTGCACCAATGTGTTGCACAGATTCGAGGTTTCACAGATGACACTCCACCTGTGACGAACTAGTGTGCAGCAATCATGCTATTCCTGGCCACGTTGACGAGTAATGAGGAATTCGTGGAATTGGTCATATTGTCAGCGTACGCAAGTTAACTCTCGTGTTACTCTCGAAGACGCAATGAGCAATGGAGGGAAGAAGTGGCTTTGGTATAATCGGGCGTTGTGGTCGGAGGAGTGGTAGTGTGAATGTTGTGAACAGAGCATGGTGCTTCGAGAGTGGAGGTGGATTTGGCAACTGTCAAATGATTTCCATTGACAGATGACCACTGGCTTCATTTAAAACCACATAAATTGAACACAACTGTTTGGCACTGAGTGGGAATATTTGAGCATCTGTCCACTCTCCCACTTGGCAAATCTGTCATTCACATTTCAAAGTCATTGTGATATACGAGAATGGGTGGGTTAGCATTGTAGAAGTGCCCAGTTGTGTGCGGTTGTGCAAGTGCTTGAATAGGTGGTGAGAGTCGAGGATGGCACCAATTCACGGCTTAGAGCACGTAGTGAATAATAGGTGAGGCGTTGCGCGTGGTACGTGTGATGCGTCAGAGAAAGTGGAGCATCAAATTTGCCATGGCGGCTTATTCATCACCTTGACAAAAGGCGGTTTTTGGCATGCATTACGCGCCGGTACATCTCACATGACAATCGCTCTCCGTGCACACCCTCGATACCTGTCATTTAACGAAGTTCTTCCATTGACCTCTCTCGATTTCGTTCGCCTTTCTACTTGTTGCAATTCCATTACCATTTATCAACCCACCAATCTGTCTGCGTTGATGCCAAAGCTCCAGATATCAGGAAGGTGACTGCTAACGTGACAAAGTTTGCTAGTCGTTTGCTGTGTTTGTTGAGGCACTGTGAGGAATGAGTTCTGTCCATGGCACAGAAATGCCTCCTGCATCAAGCATCTGCGAAACGGAGCACAAAGAGTGGATGGTCTTCTTCCCTCAAAGCCGCCTCATGCATTCGAACCCAACTCCATTTCGCAATATCGACGTAAGACTAAGTGCTTCTTCTAGATGGACTTTGCCTTGTTACAGTTGTCGCCCTCACAACCCTAATACTAGTGCTCCATCACGGCGTGAAGGTCTCCATATCGTCGACGATGATGAAGCGGGTGGCGAATTTGGATGTGCTTCCACTACTGCATGCTCTGTGAGCAAATCGCTTTGAATGGAATATTTAGGAGGGGATGCTGCATCCTCAGCACTGTTCTACTGAAAACACAATTCTCGTGTCTACCACATCCACTTAGGTCGTGCACACAAAATAGTCAAATTTACAATGAAATATGCTTTGTCGAGGATTCCATGTGATTCCACTACGCCCCAGCCATTTCTTCGACACTTAAACTATTCATTTTCAGTTTTGCGTAATATGGAAAAGACATCGGCATTGAAGTTGTGCTGCATCTGCTCAATTTTTGTGAGTACAGCTGACTCATTCCACTCTGTCTGTTTTGCGCAAGAGTGGCCGAAGCCGTGCTGGAACGATGACCACCACCAGTGGGAATTGGAATGGAATGCTGATTTGAGCATTAAATTGGTGAAAGTGGCATCATGGATGAACAGTGTGTGTTTCAGTTAGTCGTGAGTTACCAACTGTATTATCAGTGTTGGTGATGGCAGGAATACCTGTACAAATGCACGCATTAAAATGAGCTAATTAAACACCTTAGAGGAATTTGGCGAAAGCTGCATTTCTAATCGAGATCACAGTCTTATAGTAAAGAATTCACAATGGTTTCGCTGTTTTCTGTCAGGCAAACATCGTTTGAGTTGAGGACCGGAGGAGATTATTGACAATCTTGTTGCAATTCCAAGTTTAGCCCAATAAAGCATATCATCTTACACCTTCTGGATTATCACAGAAGGAGTGTGAAGTTGTGTGAGCTTTACACACACTGCATTATGGTGGATTAAGATGCTCTGCATTGGATGTCGTGCACAAGTGATTGGCATTGTGCTCCAAGTTTGTAATTTGCTTTTATTGTCTAGTAAATGCACCCACAATGTAGGGTAATGCCAAGTTACGGTGTGGCCTTCCTGCCAGACTGTCACATGACGCACGCCGGCAGTGTAATGACGTCAAAAATGACGCAATGCCGAAAGTGATATTAGAAACAGTGGGCACGTATATGCAATAACTTTAAAGGAATTGGCAAGAGATCAGTTTGAAATACAAGGGCCTGCCTTTGTGTTGTTAGAGCACTGTGAGAAGTCGTTAGGCTCAATTCGAGTCATTTCACTTAAGCTAACTTTTCCACTTTGCCGGTGATGCTTTACTCCATTTGTGCAATGTTCTAAAGGCTAAGGTGTAATCACTTACCTCCCAAATTGCGAATTTCTTGCCATAATGTGATTGCAGTGCTTGTTAAGTCCCTCATGTGGACGCACGCACCCAATGTGTTACTTCCATAATTGGCATAAATGCCTCAGTCCGCAGTATTCACCCAGCATGTTGGAAGAGTCCTAGTGGCATTACGAAGCATTGTTTACCTGTAAAGAGCACCGGCACCATTCACTCCGATTTAGCAGGCAACGAGGGGTAGGTCAATGAAAAGGATTGTGGAAAAGCAAAGGATTAATTGGCAATGTTGATTTGTCTATTGAATTCCCAATTATTGGCAATTTAGTAGCACCAATTCCTTATTCGCATAAAGTACCTTACAAAGCAGCTAACTTCCTCTTACTTCTGACAAACCCAATTACTTGGTTGGCATAAATAAGGCTTCCTTTTGAAAGCACTAACAACACTTGAGTGTCAGGATCACGAGTGGCAAAAGTTGACAGAAATTCAATGTCGTAGTGACCGTCCAACTTTTACTCACACAAAGAGAGACCCAAGTGCTCTAAATTGTAAGTCTTTTCCGCATTCAGAGTCTCTTATCTGAAGCTTCCATGTTGCCTTTTTGCAAATCGGAGTTAGTGATACCGGCATCTCTCGCAATGCATTTACAATTTTTCCAAGTACACCCACACAGGTGTGTTTTTCATGCTTCCTGTGGTGGATGTCGAGGTGACGAAAAGCCCTGCAACACTGTCTACCACATGTCTGGTCGCTCACGCAAATACACGCAAGTTCCACGACCGACTGAACTGACAAGTGTGTTGGCGAACATGCGGAATGGCAAGTAGCGTATTGTTAAGCTGTTCCTCCTCAGCATCACTTTGTTCCCTTTCACTGAACCCCAACTCCACTCCTCTAACAGCCTTCGTATTCTTCAAGAACAAGCACAGTTTGTTGAATAAATGAGAAGAGAGAATGCAACTACGAGGAAGAGGCTATTGTTTCCTCAACACTGTGTCAATGGCCGCAGTCGCAGTCCAAAACTAGAAGTGTGAATGGCGCCTTTGGCATTACCCTTTCACTCTGTGAAATAGTGTGAACCACGTGGACTTGACCCGTCTGTGACTGTCCACTGGCAGGGTGAATCAAGTGTTTCATTTTCGCACCCTATTCATTTGACACAAAGAATTTTGCTCTACTGAGGCATTAAATGTTGCCGGTGTTGATTTTGCAAGTATTGTGCATACCTCGCCAATAAATAAGCACCACACATTGACGGCTATATCTTTCAACCACAATTATGGGAGAAGATGGCAAATTAGAAGAAAAGCATCTGAGTAAGTCATTTGCAGCTTTCCAATTGCATTATTGTTTCGATAGAAGGAGTCTCTCTACAAATGCATGCGTAGGGGATCTATTTACCAAGTTTGTAAAAGGATTCGTGAAAATTGATTTGACAATCTAGGCTGCAGTTTAATTGCTGCATATATCTCTGTCAAAGAAATGTCACTTAAGTTAAGAAGTGAGAGACTGGTGAGAATTTTGACTGAAACCAAGAGTTAGCCTGATGTCAAGGCATTCTGTGGCCTATTCGTGCTTGCCTCAGTTGGTGATTCACTCCTGCTCTGGCCGCAAGTTCTTCAATTCGATGTTCGTGGTGCCCTCGTTCGTCGATCCACACAGGTGCGACTGCAGTCAGCTGAACATCCGGAGGACTCGATGCCCATCACTGTCAATCGTTCCCTGTTAGTCTTCTGTCGTCGTGTAGTAGCAACCCCGCAGTTCTACAGCTTCATCGTATTCCTCGTGATCGTACATGCGGTCGAATAAGGGTTTGGGGTACTCCCAAACTTCCACTTCAGTGTCAGCACTTTGGGATTTCTGGTTCACTCACCGTCGACTTCGAGGAGAGGAGGGAGGGGAGTGAATTTCATCCCTATTTTGAACAGTCATGGCAATGCTGCTGAGAATCAGTTCTCGCACCATTCAAACCACTTACAGCATTTATGACCTCCTGTTGCAGGTATGCTTTGTGTGGTGGAATACTACTCCCTTCTCCTTGACTCCGTTCACACATGACATCTGTGGCCATTGGTGCCACTAGAAACACAAACCCAAAGTAGCAAGTTAACTGCTTTGATAAGCAAAAGCATGTATCAAATACTGCTCTCGGGTGGATGAAAATGAAGTTAACGTTTGTGGTCACACTGCCGTCGTTATTCCCTCCTGAAAGAAATGCGATATTCTCACACTGTATTTAATTGGATTGTGCCTCCACCTCTATTGGGTAAAGTGTACAGTTTGCATAGACGACGATGGAAAGAAACTTCAGCTGCATGATGGAGCGCGCAGATCGCACCTTCGTACGCACCTGCTGATTCATCCCAGAAACCAACTGTATTACCTAAACAAGAAGCGGTGTTGTTCTGGTGATAAGTCACTCAAAACTCTTCAGTTTTATGGAGGTTTTTTGCCTTTTTATTACTAATAAAACTCGATATTACCGTGCAATAACTTTTATATCTGAGTTAAGTGAGAAGGAAAGCATTCGTGCACAGCCTTATAAAGTTGGAAGTAGTAGGCTACGCTCACATTCGTTGGAGAATGACAGTGAGCACGAGGGAATGTTACTTTTCTTCACCTCTTTCAGGCACGTTTGTTCAAACCACGCTGTGCACATCGACTTGCCTACTGGACTCACTTGCGGTAAGATTAGCTTTGACTCTCCGACTTTAAGCAGACCGGTAGATTATTCATTGTCTACTGTACACTTCTGAGGGCGACACTGCCTCACTGCCAGAAGTGCGTTTGGTGCAATGTGGAGGGACTTGTAGGCGAAAGAGAGATTTGTTCTGCCCACTCAATACACCCTGAAGATGTGCAAGAAGACCTTGTCTCTCCGGATGCATCCATTACTGGTCAACTGAGTCTTTAAGTGTTTTGCAAGTTATTCCCTGTTCGTAAAATCCATGAAACGTACCTAGTTACATGAAGCGAATTCTGTCGTGTAATAATAAGTGTTTTTGTTGCTACAAGCTCATTTGAGCAGTTAATCGGAGGATCGTTTAGGTGGAAAAAGTAGGTGCTTCACCATTTCTGCCTATTGGTAGAATGATCAAATTTCTCACACACTTATGCGAATTCAAGGCGTGAATTCACTTTCACACACTTATTTTGCAGCGGGATAATTTCTCTGCTCCCTCGGTTCTAGTGAAGGAAAGCAGGGAGAAACAAAAGAAAGGAAGGACTTAATTTATGTGTTGATGTCAAATAAAAACAGATTTTGTTTGAAGCATGATCCATTACCTGGCAATAGTGGCAGAGTTAAAGTAAGTGGGTTTTGAGGTGCGAAAAGGTGATTTTTTGGTTTGGCATTGACTTCTCTGCAGATGAAGGAAGGTGCAATGCTAGGGCATGATATGTCTGATCGGTTGCGAGGAGGGCTAGGACGCTAATGGCATGGTCCGGAGCCCTTAGCATTCAGTAATATTAGGGAAACGGGGGGTCAAGTAAACCTAGAACCGAAACGAGGAGTTAAACAAATAATTGTGGCATTACACAGCCTCTCCTGTCTTTCTGACGCTGCCCTCGGTGATCGCCTTGTTCAATCTGCCACATGGACACAAACAGTTACCACGATTGTGCATTTCCCAAACAATCTTTGACCAAGTCTTAATTGTGCTACAATTATATCAACGTAAACATCTTCTAAATGGTAGTTTAACTTTGCCTAGTCTAAATCATTGTATGTCTACATCACTGACACTACCAATTCCAATGAATTGAGTGAAGCCACGAGGATGAGGACAAAATGTATCGCCTGAAATTTCGCTATGGTTCTGGAAACATTTGCGATTGACGCATCGTTCTGATCAATTTGTTGTTAGGATGTAACCGAAAATTGAGCCACATAACTGATTCCTTGATGTAGTTATAATAAACTCTGCCAACAGACAGAGGTTGAGTCGATTGTTGTCTGCAGTTATCATGGATGTATCGTCATGTCTGGCACCACAGACGGCAGATTAGCATCGGAAGTTGGTGATTGTTTTGATGTTTGACTCCAGTAAGTGTTTCCCCATAGTCTGCCAGTAGACCATCACTATGCTGTTTGATGTTCCTATTAGTTGGTTTAGTTATTTCCATTCCTTTGCCGGTACAGCGTTTTATCATGTCACTAATATGTCCTTGTGGAATCACACAGACACCACCACTGTCAAGGCACTTGCCGGCACGTTGTCGTGGCAAGACAATGCTGGAGATGACGCCAGGAATTAGATCAGGGTGACAAACTCGTGCATGGTTCTTGTATTCACCAAACCATTCCTTGCTCCAACCGAAATTGGAGATTTAGCCATGATTATCAGGTACTGCTGAGCATCATTTCCACATCGTGACTTGCCGACATTCAAGATGTGAGGGCCTGATGCCGTTTGCGCATCTGTTATTACAGAAATTCTTGATGAAGTGCAGATTCGTTTGGTGAATTCCATCTCGCTGTACCGATTTTACACTAACTTGTCATTATTACTTAATTCGTTTTGCATAGTTATTCACACGAAGTAGCAAGGAATCTAATCTCTTTAGGTTTACAAATGCAACGTGTGTTCACGTTTAGTAAACTGTAACTGGCATTGTGACAGATGAGAAGCCTTATGAGCAAGTGTGACAGATTTGACTTGAGAATTGCCTTAATCTTGTTAAACGACAAGTTCAGAAGTCAGGATACCCTGTACAGCGGGAACCAACATTAGTCGTTCATCCAGGATAAGAAAAAGTCACTTTTCTTGACGATTCTCTTGAAAAAGTAACAATTAAAATGTAAAATTGTTGGATTAGGGAAATTGCACTAATTATTATTAACTTCAAATGAGTTCAATGATGGAGGAGTCATTTTTGTGTCTCAAAACATCGAGGTGAATGTCGCATTGACCCTGATTCTTTTGCTTTGCTCGCTACTCTTACAGGCAAGGAGGTAAAGAAAACAAAAATCTAATTTGACCCCTAATTTCCAACCTCAGAATGCGAATTACCAGTGTTTTCTATCCTTCCTTCACTATTCGCTTTCTTTAACTGCAAGTATTCTGCTATCACACGCATTAACCACAGAGGAGCTCAGACTATTTGTAAATTCGTAGTTGCATGGTGTTAAGGACCATGGCAGAAGTTGTAAACTATAAATTTTAAACGAGACTAAGATAACCGAATATAAAATGAGGAAGACCTAGTTTAATGAACTTAGCAAACGGCTTTGATGCAGGATGTTGTGGATACGTTCGATAGGCATCAGGGTGTTTTGCAGTCTTTCCCAAATCTCGTGGCAGCTTGCCCAACCCACTAAAGTTCGCCTTCCTTGGGATCATGTTGATACCTTGCAATACTTTTGATAGGGTGAAGGTTCCTTTCTGTTTCATTCCCCATCTTAGCTCTTCGTCTTATGCGTGATTGGTGATGTTGAGCCCAATTCTGCTTTTCCTGTCGCCCGCAGACCTGTGCGGCCGCACGCCTGGTTCGTTGGAAGAGGTGCCACAGCCTATATCACAAAGCAAACTTTGCGTCCTCCGTTGTGATCAGGACACTGTCAATGGAATGAATGATAAATGTGCATTCGTGTATTCACTTCACTTTCACTTCTGTAACTGCTAGTGAACGGGACAAACTGTCGGTGCGTATATGCAAAACCAATGCCACCACTGATTGACTGGACGTCCTCGTGTGTGGCGATTCAGCGAGTGTTGAACATACAGTCGACATTTTAAGCGTCTTTTCGTGTAAGCCCAGGTCATTTACTTTAGGGTTTCATCCCACGGCATAAGGCAAACCGTCTTATAGCAGCGATCCACCGTCTAGAAATTGAGCGATTTCTCAAATTCGATTGCACTTTTAATCACGCACCAGGTTGTGCGTGGCATAGACTGATGGTAATGCCCGCTTCCCTATTGCAAGACGTCTATTTTTCCCATAAAATTGACTGAAATTCAATGTATAACTAGTCACTGATTAGCAACATTTGATAAGGAAATCTGTTTCCACTTTCTACACAAAGCCATGACTGACTGGCAGTAATTTAAGTACCAGGTATCTCGAGAAGTGACTGACGAGTGAACCGGAATTTCTCACGAGGCAATGCTGATACAGAAGTTTGAGAGCACATTGAACGTTTGCTCGGCTTCAAGTACGGCATAGTAGCAGAAAATTAGGCTCTAAGAGTCAAAAGTGGTAGTTGCAAAGCTCTCTGGCCACTTGGCCACCACAGTCACAACTGTGAGGATTGACGAACAAAGGCAGCCCGAAAAACGACTCGAAGAGCTTTCGGTCGAAGTAGGGGTGGATCACCGAGTGAGGTGAGTGCAAAGGGGCAGCGAAACGACTTGCGGTCGTTTTGTTGGGATGATGGACACAAAGTTAACAAAACGCGTCGTTGTAAGCATTGGAGTTACTAGTTTTTCGTCACTTGCCAAATGACAATGGCTATGTGGTGAATCGCGCTCAAGACTGTAGGAAATGGCTCACTAAATCCTTGAGACAAGCCACTCACTACAACATTATTAGCTCAATTCCCACCTCCCATACTTCTATCAAGTTTAAACAGATTTGAAATTTTAAGCTGGACTGAACTATGTTAGTCCAAATTTGTTTAAATTTGTCAGGTTGAATCGTTAATGGATGTGATGCATATGTCACGGTTGGGACCGTGAAGGCCCCACAAACTGGTCACAGATGAAGCAGACAATGCGGGTGAAAGGAGTTGAGATTTGGAGGAGCCATTGTGTTTAGCTTGCATGATTTGAGTAAAAAGGAAATTAGACAAAGTAGGCAGGTGTGATGCTAGAGTGGGAAGTAACTGACTGACGAGCGTTTCGCAACGTCGTTTATTTCTCCCAGTAATCTTCATGCCTACTTTTTCGAAAATTGAATGCTGAACTGGAATCTGAATCATGGCAAAACTGCGCGCTAATGTTGGCAACAAGTTCAATGAATTGGTACTTTGTTTGGTAACTACAAGTTTGTGCAGAAGAGCCTCTAGCAATTTGGCTTGACGTTTCTCAAATTGCACCAGCTGAATTACTGATACAACGTTTAATCCCTGCTACTCATGACAAACATTTCAGTTTAGGTTTCGAGAACCTTTCATTTCTGCAGCGAGCTCTCCCAGCATTCTGCGTCTCACGTGTTTACTCCAATTGGGGCGTTTGATATCACGTTCGGGCATGCTTCAAGTGTACTGAGTCACTCTAAGTCCATGGCCAAACTACTGCTAGAAATGCACGTGACCAAGCCGACTGAGTGACCCATACTTAGATGCGGACGCAGATGCAGTCTCTGACTTAGGCCTCGGCATTCCAAACAAGTCAGCAACCTAGTCCGTACATGAACGCCGTGGCTCTCTTTAAACCCATCTGCCTTAACCAATGAGGCTATTTCTCCCAACCACACTATCAATAGTGTGGTCAGTGACCTCGGTAAAACCTCGACAGCTCACGCAAAAGCCTCAGTTTATATTAGCGGCAACTCAGTTTACTGCAGATGTGTCACATACAATGGTGCAGTGCTCACCGCTTTACAGTAGGCATATTCCTTGGGTGTAAAAATAGGTTATGCCATTTAAAGTGCACGGTGGTTCAAGGATTATCGGCAGGAGTAAATTGTCATAATCACTCGCCTATTCGTATGCTGCTGGGATAGAGCGCTGTTCTTCTTATTGAAAGTGTGGTCGGTGACCTCGGTAAAACCTCGACAGCTCACGCAAAAGCCTCAGCTCATATGAGGTGGTGAGCAGTTTATACTGGCGGCAACTCAGTTTACAATGGACGGAGAGGGGCATTGCGGACCCTGTGTTGTCAGTTTTTGTAACTTGTGGCTTACGTGCGTAGCCTGGGCTCTTGTGACCCACCAATCAGACAATCAGCAACGTGACTTCTCTACGGTGGTCTGTTTACCAACATGCATGAGTAAGCAGAAGGTAGCACGACGAACGCGTACGCCTGTGGTGTCTGGGTCGTGGAGACCGCCTGATTCACTCCACTATGTGGTGGTTTCAGACGCGTAGAATTGTGATGACTGACTGGTCTTGGCCTTCGAGTGATTGTGATTAGCTAACTAAAACCGCATTTATATGCCTTGCAACCAATCAGGACAATCAACCAGGAGTGTATTTCTGGGGCTGCAAGCATTTGAAGCAACTGTTTAGTATTTCATAGTAAAGACTGGGAAAACTGGAGGTAAAAGCCAAGTGGAAACAATATGGTAATGTCCTATTTCTTCGATTGGACGAAAGTGCAGCCTGTTTTTGAAAAGAATTACGCAAGATGTTACCACTGTGGACACAACCCTAATCGCCAATATTATCTAGCCTAGATAAGTAAGTGATGCCTACTTTTGCTAATTCAAATACGTAACTCGGTGTTTTGAGGTTGTTCTTTTAGCAGCAGTATTGGCCACGAACCTCCCATGAGAATGGAACAAAGGAGGAGGGAGGAGCCTTCCATTATATGGTAGATATTGTGGTGGGAAGGTGGTGAATGATGTGAGAACAGATGCACATCAGCGTTGTCGTCATGGCTGCTCAGTATTGGACTGAATCAAGGTCGTTTTCTCTCGAGAAGTGGTTGGTGAGTGAATAGGGAGTTGCAAAGTGGTAGTACTGGTGCAGATGGTGCGGAGTACTCTGAGCATCCATTCGGCTACAAGTACGACCACGAGGAATGGCGAAACCGTCCCAGAACTGTCGTGTTGCTGCTGTTCAACAGCAGAAGATTAACAGGCAGCGATTAAAGTGAGAGGTGCATAGCACTGTGGACTGTTAGCCGAACACTGTCACAGCTGTGAGGCATGTCGGACAAAGCCACCTCGGAAAACAAGTTTGAAGTACTGCTTGTCAAAATAAAAGTGACTCACTGTTAATTTATCAAAATGACTTGAATTCGCTTCCTTGGGGCAAAGCACAGATGCCAACAGAAGGCACCGCTTCAGATGCTTGAGTTAGCTGTCTTTCGTTGGCTGCAGAATGGCCAATGATTCTCCAGTGTTTCTCATTACAGACTAGGCGATAACCCACACACGCCGTAAGGCGAACAGCTCATAATGTCGTCGGGTGTGCAATGTAAGTTTGACATTTGCTTCGACTAGTTGCAACAGATATTGTCCACAATGTTAAAATGAACTATGTTAGACCAAACTTGTTTGAATTTGTGTCAGGTCGAAGGGTTAATGGAGGTGACAGTGAAACACTTACCACTTTGTCACAGGTAAAGCAGACAATGAGCTCAAATGGAGTTGAGCGTTAGGAGAGAGCTTTAGGTGTAGCTTATGTTGAAGGTATAAAATTTGGGCTAATTAAAGATAAAAGTAGACAAAGGAGGAGCGTGAAATTTTTTAGAACATAGACTGGCGGCAGAGCGTTTTGAAGAGCAGTATATTTCCCCACTTTACCTGTGTATTCACCTGATTCAGAGATTACCTCCCTCCCTGAAGCGCTCAGCCAACTTTGCACCAATGTTATATTTATTATTCAATTCTGATTGGATTGTCTGTTGATAATTGAAAGCACCTAGTGAAAAGGAGTACAGGAGAGGCACCTCTCATTATGGGTTGTGATGTTTCTTGCACTTTGTAACTTGAGTGAAGGTAGCAAAAATGCGAATGGCTAGTCATTGAGTCGCATTGACATCCAGTGATGGAAGTGTGTGCGATTTCCGCTTTCAGGTTTGTGTACAGTCATTTCGTGACGTATACGGTCTCACTCATAGACGACCTTGAGGAGGAGAATTTGTTTCGAGCTCAGCAATTTCACAATCTTATGAACTCTTAATAAGCACTTTTTTAGTAAAGTCAGTTTTTCTCTATTGACTGAACCAAAATTGAGGATAGTTTTTTCAGGAAACCATCTCCCCGTGGTTTTACCTAAACTTCGTCCACCTTTATCCAGAAAATTACATCCACTTGCAAAGTAATTGATGTTCATCCTCCAATCGGTAATGTTGACACTTTCTAAGAATTTTAATTATGCATTGATTTAAGACTCATTCCTTGTCTTTTTACTAAGCCCTGTGCAAATATTTATAATGATTTCAGCGTTGATCTCACCTTGTAAGATTTGGTAGGGCATACACAAGGGGGATTGTCACTTTGATTATTACTATTTATTAATCGAATGCATATTTAAATCCATGAGTGATTCGAAACTTTAAAATGCACAGGATTGCAATGACACTGCCATGCAATTCTAAAAGTTATTACTGAGCAAATAGATGTGTTTTATCCGAAGTCCGAAGCTCTGTCTTTTGATTACACCTTCCTATTCATGACAGCGGAGTGTTGCAATTTCAGTTTTCCAATTTGCATCTTGACTAGTAGATTTAAATCAAGATTGCTGTTTAAAAGGAAGGAATTATCTTTCAAAGTAGTTGTCAAGATCCATGCAGTGTAGGTGATGCATAATCCAAGTTCAGTGATTGAATTTTCGCTAGCCATGTGGACTTGACTCGTCTGTGCTTCTCCCCTGCCACCGTACATCACATAATTCATTTCGGCACCCTATTCATTGATGGCAAAGGACTCCGCTTCAATAAGGCATCAAATGTCCCGAGCCTTGATTCAAAATGCATAGTGTGCATTTCGCTGATAAGTATGCATAAAATGCTGACAACAATGAATTCCAACCACTTTTATGATTGCATTATTATAAATAAATAGGTGCCATAAAGATCAATCTATTTAATTTCCTAATAGAATTGTTGAAAGGTGGATTACCAATCCAGGTTGTAGTTTAATTGTTGTATATGGCTTTATCAAACAAACTTCTTTTAAGTTAAGAATTGCAAGAGGTTGACGAGAATTTTGCAGCAAGTTCAAGGTTTTGGCTCAGCACTAAACGCCACCTTGCATCTTGTGGATAGGCTATGGTGAAGTGTAAAATTTCGGAATTTTTTGAAAAAACTTTATTAAGATGCATTAGGGAGCTTACCGGCGGCTTGCATCGTACGTTTGTGCCAAAATTTGATTACTTTTTGGGAATAAGGCAAACGAAACGAGCCTCAACATTTCTCCAAGGCTGTAATTTACTTTCACTATGTGGTGGCTCTATCTACAATGCAGGACAGTGTCAAACTAAAGTGTGGATTTCCTTGTCAGACAATCAAACCACCACGGAGGTAGTATTAAACAGACTTGAATTGACTATCATGCTAAGCAAATCCCCAGTATGATTGCTTCAAATCTGAAAACCTGCCTCTTTTGCAGCTTTTCAGACTCAATTTGTGTAACCCAACTCAAGTTACCCTTCACAATTGGCCATTGATAATTTTTTTACTTGTGAAAAGCTTCGAAGTCTAAAATGCGATCACTTTACTTCCGAAAAGCAACTTTCATTACGCAATAGAATTTCGGAAGTGTTCACGCCACTGAGTAGCCTAAAAGCATTACTTTCCGTTATTCATCCTTCATGATGGAAGAGTTTTTGCAGCACTCCAAGCTTCTTTTGCGTATGCATAGCGTAGCTACCTGAACCACTCCTGGGGCTGAGGGAGAGCTACTGGCGTGACCCTGAGGTCATTCCGCTTAGCTAAAGCACAGAGGGGGGCCTTTAAGTACCCACGAGACCAAAACGAAGATTTTAAGCAATAATGAGTTTTACAATAGTTTAAGTCTTATCTGAAGCTTCAACGTCATCCTTTTTAAAACCTGAGTTAGCAATTCCAACGTCTCTAACACCACATTTAAGCACACCCACGCAAGCAAATCGCCCGTGTTTTAAGCGGTGCGGTGCGTGGTGATGAAAATCCCTACGCCATTGATTGTAACATGACTGGCCGCTCATGCAAGTGTACATAAGTCCAACGACTGACTGATTTAGCAAGCGCATGGGCCAGCATGCAGAATGTGAAGCAAGCTACTGCTAACTTGTTTCTCATCAGTATCATCCTGTACATCATCGTTGGACTGCAAATCCTCTTCTCAGCCCCTGATCACAGTATTCAAGAACGACCACAGTTCGTTAAAAAAAATGAGCCCAAAGAATACAATAATGGAAAGGGAAATCTTATTTCCACGGCAATGTGTCAATGGCCACCACCGGACATTAGAAATATTATTGTGAATGAGGCCTTTAATATCACCCTTTGTGTACAAAGTCCGCTTCAAACACAAGAGCTCAAACGGAAAAAGGAGTACATGCTGCGAGAACTGTTTGGATTATCGAAAATGAAGGGAGCCTTTACCTTTGAAGGCCCAAGGCTGTTACCCCGGCAATTTTGGGCACGGATGAGGATTCCACAAGCCTATCTAACCTATCCTCAAGATGTTCCCATGGGCGACATTGTTAAGGCCATTAAAAGGGGTCATCCCGTACCCGAGGTTAGTTTGTTCGCGTTGTATTCTGTATTCCAAAACAAGCATAGGAATGTTAACCACTTTAAAAGGAAAAATAGTAACTCTGACGAAAAATATCAAGGGGAGAAGAAAGGTCTCCGATAGAAGAAAGTAACTGTGCTTCTAAAAACTAGAACGAATCAACACTTCCTATCGAATCGTGAAGACACGATTACAGGTCACTTTGTGCCAACACAATACCTTCGTTTTATGCTTTTTAATGAACCTAAACAAAATATCTTACTAAAGATAACTTAAGCCTTGTAGCTGGAGTAGCATTCTACTCATTAATGTGCCTAGTACTTTTTTATTAAAACCGTTATTTTGTAAACAAAGACATCAGTGGATTTGATCGGTTTGCAGGTTGATAATTCTATGTGGTTTTGAAACACACTCAAATAAATAATTCATTTGAACTGTTTCGACTAGTTGTTTAGTAGAAAGACTATATCAATTTAACTTGGCAAACAGCCCCTTAAAACATCCACTACCCTAACGTTATCCTATGAAATTAAATGCGAATGTTAATAAACAACTACCTATCGCATCTTTATGGTACTGATAACTGTTTAAAGCCGGGTTAAAAAAGAATGCCTTATGGTGTTATTTCCTCTTAAAAGGAGGTCTTTTTGTCATATCTGGTTCCGAAAATTTCTCCTGTTGGGTGAACATCACTTTGGTAGTAAATTGGTAATTGAGAGACAAATTTGGCAACGATGAGATTCTAGCTTTTTATTAGTAAAAGTACATTTTCACTATCAAAATTTTCAAACACTCCTAATTTACAAAATTCAAAATTTGTCTATTTACTCAACTTGAGTGAAACAAGCCGCAATAACTCTTGTTTCATTTCAGATACCAGATTATAATTTCCCAATCACAATTCTGAAAACCCATAAATCGGTATGCAGAGGGGGTGAACAATACGATCTCGTGATAGTTGTCAAAAGTGCTTACTTGGAATGCGAGATCAGCCTTTCGTAAATACATGGAAAATGAGGCAAGTGGAAGCAGTCAACTTAAAGTTGGTGTAGTTTTCAGTATTGGCTTGCCCCGAAAACACGGTGGAAGGATATTTGACCGTGAGGGTCACCTCATCAATCTTCCAGGAGCCTCTGGAGACCTACTGGAAAAGTATGATGGTCGAGAGGCTGAGGTAATGGCGATTATCAACGAAGGAATCAAGAAGGATGGTGATATCTTGTTAGCAGACTACGAGGATACGTATTACAACCTTACTTGGAAAACTGTCACCAACTACCGTTGGATGTCAGCATTTTGTCAGCCGAAGAATGTCAAACTCTTCATGACCATCGACGATGATCACCGAGCGAATCTCTCCATGGTGGCTGCTTTCTTGAACCGGATTCCGCAGCACACAAGACGCAATTCTCTCTTTGGATATGTGGCCAGGAACGATTATGCTTATCAATCGCCTCGGAATAAGCTATACCTCTCCTATCGCGAATTTCCGTGGGATCGGATGTAGCCTTACCTGAGAGGTTTTTGCCAATTAGTTGGACCCAATGTTGTTACCGACATCGCGATTGCAACAGCCTACACCCGATACAATTACGCCCCTGAAGACGTTTATCTTGGAATGGTTGCTTTTAAACTTGGAATTCCTCTCTACCACGAGGAGAGCATGCATGACCATGACGAATACAATTCGCGTAATCGAAAAAGCCGCCCAGCCATGGTTGCTTTGGCTAGGTTCTTTCCGACAGCCTGATTTTTTTCACGTAACCATCTGGCGTTGTTCTGCAATAAGTCTTTCTTTGTGTAGTTGACTTTCTTCCAATACGTTACTATGGCGATTGTGTCGTTTATTTCTTTTTGCTCAGGCAACTCCCTAATTCGCCGTTGTACAGCCAATGAGAATAGGTTTGACCATATCGCTGGAGATTTTACACTTGCGCAAAGTAGCTTCCCTAAAGTGGGTTAGAAATTCACAACCAAAACCTTCGCAAATGCAATTCAAGCATTGAATTCTCACTTGCGTGTTGTCGCCAAGTAAACAACAGCCAACCAGTGAACAAACGCGGGACCAATAGAAATCCTAGAGAAAACGTGATTTGTCAGACTGATGTTTTAATGTGGTACACATGTGACATTTTCTAAATGTGCAAACGCCTACTAGAACCTTCAGGATACTTTAGTGTCTGAGTTAATGAAGAGAACACTGGACGACTTTAGTTACCTTAAATACCTTGACAATATGAAGAACGTCAAAGGTTGATTTGTGGGACGCTTCCATTAATGCCACAATTATATTGAAACAATTAAGAATATAATGTTTTTGAAATCATGACCTTGGCAGAAATAAGGCCATATTCTAGGAAGTCGTTAAACGATATGAAGAGCTGGCTTCTTTCCCCTATGGTTATTGATGAAGACGTGTATTCAAAATGAATGTCCTGGAAGATGCATCGCGAGGTGCTGCATTCCGTACTGTTTCAGCGAGCGAAGTCAAGGTTGTCGTACTCCTAGAAGGAGTTCAACAACCTAACAGTTGAGTAATACCTGGAGGCACTTAAAAAGTGGTTCGCAGACCGGCAGCACAGAGACTACGGACAGTCAAGTGGACAAAATTACTAAATGAACACTCACTACAAGTACTACCCCTACAAAGTAAACAATAAAATACGCCAGTAGTTGAACAAAGTGGATAGAGCACAGCTGAATGTAGCAATTTCGTTTAACTGCCACTAGTGCTAAATGAGTAGTCAATATGCATTCAAAAATATGCTTTAAACAGTGAAAAATAGACACCGCGTCCTATACGAAAGTAGTAGCAATTGACAGGATTTTCGTAATATCTGTCGTGGACTGCAATGAGCGCAACTTAGAGGGGATTGGGACAAGGATTCGCGATCCCAGAGGATTTCCATCATCATCAATTAACACCGCGTTATTCGATTCAAAACGTGGCCATCCGTTGCGAGAAGGCATTCGACTTCCTACAATCCAACCACGTTTCTTCAGCCCATGTACAGCTAGCAGGACCTTGTCACCTGGAAGAAAAGACGGTTTGTACACTAGCGGCGACTATTGATAGATTGGGAAAACCAATGAGCTGCTGGCTCACCAATAACTCCACGATTTCTCTGATTATATACTCGAATCACCATTGGCTTTCTCTTGGAAGCAGCGCTGGTGCCGATTTGCAGGAAAGTGTTCACATCTTTCACCTCATCCCTGTCCGACGTAACAGGTGCCTCATGTGCTGTCTGTTTTATCCCTCCCTTTTTAGCCACCTGCCTTTTTTGTTCTGGGGCTATACTGCTGAATTGACTATTGTCCACAATACGCATACGTGTCTGTGGTGCTATGAATTGACAACTGGTCGAAGTACTAAAATGATACGAAAATGCCAGTTATAATAGAATTTGATACAATTCAGTTTAAAATAAGCAGTTGTTACCAAATTGGACGGAATCCAAATTTTAGGGCTGCAAAAGCTTTTCTAAAGAGAGACATGCCTAAAATACAATAACATTAATCAATCTTGAAATAACACAACAAAATAACCGAAAACAGAAGCAAATTTAACTCATAAGTACATTTTATTGTCTCAAAGTCTAGTCATCCACAACTAGTCATAGAGGAGGATGGATTTTGCCCGTTTCCTTCTCAATAACAGCTTGCGGTAAGTCTCCTCCATCTGATATCGATTTGGTATCTTTGGACGTTCGATTTCGGCTGTTGGTGGTTCCGCAGCTACCTCTTCGATATGGGGAATGACCACTGATTGATGAAGGAGACTTGTGATTGATGCAGGTAGATTAGCCAAAGAACGAGCTGCCTTACGGTAAATGTCATCCAGTGGTTCCAATTGGCCCCCAGACCCAGAAGATTTCACAACATGGCTGGCAAGTTGACGTAGTTCTTCTGGCCTCATTACATCGCCGTAGTATTCGGAGTAGTCAAACAGACGAAAGGGAAGTCGCATTTGAATTGTTCCTGGGAAAAGGAAAAGAAGCATTTACCTTGTCGAGTGTGCATAGGATATGGTAGTTCGGAAGCTGTGGTTTACCCATATCGCGAGCCATTTCGATTGCTAATAGCAGCGACTTGTGTTGGACTCCGCACAATCCTGAGAAAAATTGATAATATACTAAAAACAGGACTCACAGACATCGAACACATCAACAAAGCATCCTTTACACAATTAGGTAAAACAGTGGTTGCTTTTGACTTTTTTACATGGCAAAAGCTAACTGGTATGGTTTTATAAAACCTAGGTACAAATAGATACACGGGAAGTGTTTCAAAACTAAAAATTTGAACGGGCTGTTCTATTATCACCTAGAATTTTACTAGTGGGGTGGCATAAGTATGAAGGTTGTACACAATGAATAACACAAAAGGTAGTCGTTAGAGAAACTATTATTCTAGTAACAATAAATTTGAAAAGAAATATTAAATGGAGATTTCTTTCCCATCATTGAGTATTTTCCAAACAAAGGAATGCATAAATCATACGCCAAAATTTTTTCCTGGTGGACAACATACTACCAGATTCAAAGCAGTATAAAATAGGTTAACAACTAATAGTTAGTAAAAATGAATATGCTAAGAGAATCCATAAATGTAAAGTATGAACGGCGGAAGGACAAGGATTTTCCAAGAATGCATTATTTTAACTTTTCCGATGTAACGAACGGCCTTTGTATATGTTAACTTAAGAGATCGTAAATTGTTCTAAGTCCGTCAACTAATAAAGTCAAAGTGGTAAAAAAAGTACTCCACTCCTGGCTTATTTAACATGTCGTCTAAAGAATTCACCAAAGCAAGCCCCTTGGCAAAGCCAAACCAGTAGTGATTGCCTACGTTTAATAAAGGGATATACTGAAACACAGTAAAAGGAAGAGGTGGGAGTTTTACGCATCCACAAAATCAAGTTAGTACCAGTTACTTTGGGCTCCAGGATATCAGCCGAAAGAGGGTGAAGAAATTGCTTAAGAAGACCCACATTCTAATGAAAAAGTCGGTCGTTAGGTAAGGCTTCAAACATGCCTTGTGGTCAATGACAAGATACTCATCGCGGCAAATGGGGCAGGGATTTGAGGTAATCAATTTGTGGGCCCTCTACAAAATAGCAACCGGTAAGAGTAAAGCAATTTTTTATTAGGCTGTCATGTTTTAGCAAAAGTCAACTCACAGTGCATGACTTTCTCGGATACTTAGGTGGGAAATGACCTTTGTAGTTACGCCTAAAGTAAAACCAGACGGGCTTCCCACGATACAGCTCCTGATATTCTAGGAAGTAGAGAATAAAACACGAAGACAATAAGGCTACCAGGGCTAGAAAGGTACTGAATGCTTTCTTCCAATGTAACGGGTTTATAGGGTTTTCCTCTGAAATTGACTCGCATAGGGAGTTCTTCTAGAGGTATACCCTGCATCATTGCAGCCCTATAAGCAACGGCTGTAGGTTCAACAAAATTTTTCGTTGATGAAAAGGACCTGAGAATAAATTCCAGAGCATTTTTGCAGCGTTGATAGTTAGAGAGAGTAGAAAAAGCGATCACGGACCTAAGTTTGTACATAACTGCCAAAATGCTCAAAATGAAGGCTAACCAATCAACAACGACTTGGCAGCAGTCGATGACCTAAAAGTGTCGCTACCATTTACTTAGCTGGATTCTGCAAATGTAGAAAAGCAGGTTGGAATCCATTATTAAACAAATTTTTATGGTCGCTTATTTAATGAAACAAGGCATAATGAATAATTAACCAAATTTCTTCTACTTTTTTGACTGTTTTGGCCTCGAGATATTATGATTATTTATGGGCTTTTAAAACAACTCTTCACAATCCATTAGTGTATTTCAAGAAAAAGTAACTCTTATGAATAAAGTACACCTTATAATCAAGAATGAAGACCTCCCTTAACCCTTTTAGTTAACATATCATGAAATTATTACCATAACCTTAAATACTGGAAAACAAGTTTAAGTGAGTCGACATTCTTGATTCGATTAAGTCGTATAGATGACTAAAGGCCTATTCCTACAAATCAACTCTACTTTATAAGAAATATTTGCTGCTAACACTAAGTTTTGGCCAAAATCATATATTCTCCATATAGAATTGTCCGCCTTATGAACTACAAGCGATATGAATAAATCTTGCACAAATAGAATTGATCCATTCCAGACCGACTGTTACTCCCTCTGATGTTTAAATATACCTTTCAGGAAAGTGGGCAGTCGACTCGAGCCTCTTGATTGAGGAGTGGTTAGCATCCCTCAAACCAGCGAAAAGCTCAGTGATCATGTCTCCCTGAAATTGTATCTATCTCCATTGGCACTAGCCAAGAAATATATTCCACTTCAATCAGTACCTTTGTTCCAAGGGTACGAAGGCCCTGCGAGAGGCGATAAACGAGGATCGTAGTACACCTACTTAAAAAATAACAAATATATTTTTTCTACTACGCAGAATGGTTGAAGTAGATAAAGGAGAGGGTACCTTGCTGCCTAGGCATTGAAATATGCGTACCTGAAAATCCTTTTTGATTTGGGATACTATAGCTTGTCTAGAAAAGTTGTTTCACTTATTTCAGAATTACTCATCTTTGAAGCAAGCATATAAATGAGTCCAAATTCTCAGTTAAGCCACATATTCTTCCCGAGCTGGGTCAGTTCGACATAGTACTAAAGGTGGGCCTTTTTTGGGGCTCGTGATTACATCAGCCATCGAGCATATTCCCGATGAATACGCTAAACACAGTAAAGCCACATCCAAATCCTACTACCCTCATCGTTCCGATCGTCGGATTCAATTTGAGAATAGAACGGTCCACTCTCATAGGAATCCTACATTTAATTGAAATGGTATGAATCTACACTACATGCCTCGCGAGTAGGTGGACGGCCGTATCCAGATCAAAGATATTTTAACGAATGGATAGTCGGAGGAACGCTATTAAGACGGAAAATCAAATCCACCAACTGGCGATGCATCCGAGGAGAACGCAGTGAGAAATGGACTGACAGATGCAGCTTAAATAGATGAAAGTACGCTTGACTAGACAGATTGGTTATTGTTATCGGGAAGGAAGTATTCAGGATTGGCAAGTAGACCCATGAATATCAGGAAAAGGTAGATGAAGAAACGTCTCGGAAAGCGGGTGGACTAGGAAAGACGTGAGTGACCACAAACCAGTGTCAGATAAAACGCAATATTTTGGCACTAATCAAACAACACCCACAAATCTGAATGGATAAGCGAAGGGAATCAAAATAAGAGAACAGTCAAGACCTGATATGGATGCATCGATGTGTACAAAACGATCCAGCTGGATGAACAGGAGGCCAAACGATAAAGCTT